TCCCCCCCCCTCCCCCCCCCCCCCCCAATCCTTGAGATGTGTCACTGCCGAGCCGCCTATGCGCGGTATGTGATTTCAGAATGGGACCGGACCGACCGATTATATTTCTCTCTCTTGATGTCTTGCCGCATCTGTTGCTGTCGTTGTTGCTGCTGTCTTGACAGTGCCAGACGTTCCGACCTCAATCCGATACGCGTGTTGTCTCGCTTTTGTAGAGATAGATCGATGCGACTCTGGGCCATGCTTGCCCAGGCGCAAGGCTGTGCGAAGCAAGGTCTATATGCGTTTGTACAGGAAACGACCTTTACTCTTCTTGAACATGTCTCTCGATCCCCTTCTTGAGACGGTCGACGCGCCTTTTACCTCCATATATATTTTTTCTGGTTTCTTGGTCTATTGGACGCTTCCGCGCTGCATACGGATTTTTACTGTTTGAACGATGGACGCCCTTACTGAAATCTCCTTTTCTCGTTCGAAAACGCGCAGGGGGTGATCCACTACTATCCTTACGACGGAGAGAATGAGACCAGGCCACAAGTTAGGCCCGACGAGGAGGACGACGAGTCGATCACCATAGAGGCTTTCTGGGAGGGCCGCTTGGTGCCGGAGAGCCACGCCGCGTGGCTGCCTTTCTTCCCGTCGCACAAGCCGTGAGTTGTCGTTGTTGTTGTTGTTGTTGTTGTTGTTGTTGTTGCCGCCGCTGCAACTGTTGTTGTGGCTGTTGCTGTGGCTGTGGCTGTGGCTGTTGTCGTTTGTCCTTGTTGTCCTTGTTGTCATTGTTGTCATTGTTGTCATTGTTGCCGCCTCTGCGGCTGTTGCTGTTGTTGCTGTTGTCATTGTTGCCGCCGCTACGGCTGCTGTTGTTGTGGCTGTTGCTGTGGCTGTGGCTGTTGTCGTTTGTCATTTGTTATTTTTGTCATTGTTGTTGTTGTTGCCGCCTCTGCGGCTGTTGCTGTTGTTGCTGTTGTCATTGTTGCCGCCGCTGCGGCTGCTGTTGTTGTTGCTGTTGCTGTGGCTGTCGTCGTCGTCGTGGTTGTTGTGCTGCCCCGAAACGCCATGTATTCCGCCGCATACGTCGTCCGAAGAACCCTAGACCT